TGCTCTGCCTTTTACAGATAGCACTGGATGAAGCAGGGAGGCTCATTCCCTGCTTCTTTGTGTGGCCACCAAGGAGCAGCACTGACGAGCCTTCTCTTTTCCTCCTTACAGGGATGTCTCCTGCTATTAAGAGCCAGCTGCTCACACGCCAGAGTCCCTCTCCAGCCAGACTCTCCAGGGCGACAGGGAAGGCACAGCTGGGCCAGGCTGCTGGGGAAAAAGAGCCTTCTCCCAGGTGAGGCTTGGGGGGAACTGAAAGAAGCAGCCCCTGGGTTCTTGTCCTTGAGTCAATGAGCAGCTTTCCTTGGACACAGGGATTTGGTGAACTCCACAGGAGTCCTGACACATGTCCCACCGACTTCCCTTTCCTTGCTGGGCACCTGATTGCTGAGTAGAAGCAATAGCAGAAAATCCTCCTCTTGTGTGCTTGCAGGCTGCTGACAGCACAGCAGGAGAGCTCCTCAAAGACTGCAGAAGAGGGGAAGGGCAAGCGCTCTGCTGCGACTTCTCTCAAAGAGAAAAACCTGCCCTTTCTGAGCCTTGTTTTCCTTTGTGAAGGACAGGGGCTCCTCCAAAGCCCACAGCAGTGAAAGTGCTCTTGCCCTTAGCTTCAGCTAAGTAGTGTTCTGATTTCACAGAAACAGAGCATGGCTGAAGTTGCAATGTACCTGAAGAGGTCAGCTTGGCCATCCCCCTGCTCAAACAGGGCCACCCAGCACAGTGTTCAAGGACCATGTCCTGTGCAGATGGCTTTCAAGTATCTCCCCTTGGCGAGGGAGAATCCACAGCCTCTCTTGGGAACTTGTGCCAGGGCTCGGTCACCCACATGTTACAGAAATGATTGAAGACATTCAGACAGAATTTGCTGGGGGTCAGTGCAGCAGGGGGGGAAGCATTGATCTGCCAGAGGGCAGAAAGGCCATGCAGAGGAGCCTGGACAGGTTGTGTCAATGGGCAGAGGCCAATGGGATGAGGTTCAACATGCCTAAGTGCTGATTCCTGCACGTTGGCCACAACAACCGCATGCAATGCTACAGACTTGGGGCAGAGTGACCGGAAAGCTATGCAGCCGAAAAGGATCTGGGGGTGCTGGTTGATGCTTGCCAGAACATGAGCTGACAGTATGCCCAGGTGGCCACGAAGGGCAACGGCATCCTGGCTTGAATCAGGAAGAGCGTAGCCAGCAGGACCAGGGAGGTGATCATTCCCCGGTACTCTGCTCTGGTGAGGCCGCACCTGGAGTACTGTGTTCCGTTTTGGGCCCCTCACTACAAGGATATCGAGGCTCTGGAGCGTGTCCAGAGAAGGGCTATGTAGCTGGTGAATGGTCAAACACAAGTCCTGTGAGGGAACTGGGGTTGTTTAGTCTGCAGAAGAGGAGGCTCAGGGTAGATTTATTGCTCTCTACAACTACCTGAAAGGAGAGAAGCCAGGGATAGAAGAATAGGAGCTTGCTTAATTGCATTAAAAATAGTTATTGCTGAGTGTCTGTGCTTACTACTGTGCAAATTAACCGAAACAAGGAGTCGCGAGGCCCTTCACAGAAGTTGTTTCCTGACAAAAAATGGGTCTCAAAAAATAGCTGCGACCGACCTTGTGGTTTGGACAAGAGCCAAGGAGCAGCTGCGTCATACAAAGGCAGGGGGTCAACCAGTGGTGATGAAGAGGAGTTATTGGACTTCATCGCCATGACCACGCTGGCAACCACCACCAGAAGGCCATGTTCCCAGCACTCTGCCCTCACTGTCTTGTTCCCCCCACCAGAGACGCACCAAAGAGGCGGCAGAAGCTCTCGGTGGCTTTGGGCCTCTGTGCCCGAGGCCTTTGCCCTTCCTCTGGCAGAAGATACAGAGGCTGCTGCTTGCAGTGGAGGCAGCTTGCAAGTGAACCTTTCAGATGTCAGTATCTGTGCTGTACGCACTTAATCGACTCTGCAGAGGGATTTGCCTCCCTGCTCAGCAGCAACCTGCATGGGGAGAACAAGAGCACAGGCACCATGTTCCCAGCTTTTAGCCATCGTCTTTGCCAGACCTCTGCCATGGGGAGAAAGCCTTGCCTTCCTCGTGGCTCCCTCATTGCAGGCTAAGGCACTGGTAATGACACTGGGGACGAAGACCTTTACTTGGTTTTCCGATTTCTACCGCATGGGCTGCAGGGCTGCTTTTGGCAGGGTGCTAAATCTTCTTCAGTTCTGGGGCCCTGCTGTGGGGAGAGGTGGGGAGCGGTGGCCTTTGGTCCCAGCTTAGCTCGGTGGTGGCCCTACAGGAAAGTGCTCCCTGACTGCACAGAGAGAGAGAAAAGCTGCTCCCCGACAGGGCAGCTCCTGACCCGTCCTCTAATGGCCCTGGCGACCATTTGGCAGTTCTGCCTGTCCCCCGCGCCACAAGCTGGCTGAGGCCTTGGCCTGTCCGCAGCATGGCTGCCAGCGATGCTGGGCGGCATCTAGAGCCAAGAGGCCTTTCCTTTTCTTTGTGCTGAAGGAAACGTGCTCTCTGGAGAGACAGTGCCTCTTTGCTCCAAGTCTTGCAGGGTTGCCTCTCACTTTGTGAGCCCTGTTTTTCGTCAGCATTTGTGAGGGGCTTCTGGAACCCCCCGCTCACTTGTTGCGGCCAGGGCTTCCCCCCAGGATGTCTGGGCAAGGCCCATGCCGCTGGGCAGGCTCTGGGTGGGCCTTGTTCCCTGCAGGGGCAGGCGTCTGCCGCTGAGCCCAGAGCCCAGGAGCGGCTCCTGCACTTGCGGCTGCCCCTGCGCGGGCTGCTGCCGCTGCTTCTGGAACCTTCCTGAAGCCTCTGGCAGCTGGCGCCTGCGTGGCGGCCTGCACGTTGGGCTTGGCAGCCTGGCATCTGCAGGCCGTGCCAGCCTGCAGCATGGCATTGGCGGCCTTGTTGCTGTCCCCAGGGCACGGCTGAAAGGGGATTTGGGGCATTTGCTTTCCAGGGGCTGGGCACGTCGGGGATGCAATACCCCACCACGTGCACAGGCAGTTCGCACTGAACAAGGTGGGCTTTGCAGCCTCGTCCTGCCCTCGTAGCCTGCTCCTTCCTGCAGCTGCCACCCCACAGCCCGCCTCCTCAAGCAGAAGAAACGCCCCAGCGGTAGCCTGCAAAGTGCAGGTGTGCCAGGGGCCCCTTGCTGCTCTGGCAATATGCACAACAGAAGAGCCCAGCTCCAGCAGAAGGACGGGATGCGTACTGCCTGGCGCTTGTGCGTTGCCTGTGGCCCGAGTGGGCAAGCCAGCATGTAGCCGGAGCCGGTTCTCAAGGCTTTCCCTATTAGTTGGGAACCCCGTGGAGGGTTTTTTCCGGAGCTGAGGGTGTTGGCTGTGCTCTTCCTAGCCCAGCTCTTCTGTAGGGGCCAAAAAGGAGGGAGCTGGGAAGCTCCCAGACACTGAGGCCATCTCTAGGTCTCTCAGCAGTGACACCATCTGGCACCTTCCCATGAGCAGTGGCCAAAGCACAAGGGCCCATCTTCTTTGTTGGGGAAGCCCCGCGCTGCATTTCCAGTGCCAGAAATACTGCTCCTCCTTTCTTGCTTTTCAGCGTGTCTTAGTACCTGGGCTGGGTGCCTCCTTCCTTATTAAAGTGGGGCTGCTCTTGTTTTTTGCTTTGAGCTCCTCCAGGTAAAGAAGCCCACTTTTCAGTTCTCGGAGAACTTTGCCTGTCTTCCCGGAGTCCCACATAAGAAAGAAAGAGACTTTTCCTGTTTCTTTCTCAGGTGAATTTGGCCGCATCGGCAGGAAAAGTGTCCTGACACATGTCCTACTGACTGTCTTTTCCTTGCTGGGCAGCTGCTTGGTGAGCAACGGCTGTTGCAGCACTTCCTCCCCTTGTGTGCTTGCAGGCTGCTGACAGCACATCAGGAGAGCTTGCAGGCTGCTGACAGCACGTCAGGTTCTTGCAGTGGAAAATTCCACTAACCTTGCATTTTCAAAAGGGATTGTGCGGGCATGGCAGTAGCATACCATGTGAAGTATTTTAAGCAGATAAGGGGAATGTCCCACAGTTGCAAAATGAGGAGGATAACTAAGAAAAGCAGGAGAAACAGGGCAAAAATCAGTAACAAACAAATAAATAAATAAATAAATCACGGGCCTTCTAGTCACGAGAGATGAAGAAAAAAATAATTAAAAAAAAAAAGGAAGAGGGGAAAATAAAGGTTGGTCAAATAAAATTGTACATATATGGTATAGTAGTAAGCATCGCGTGGTTTGTGAACCTGATTCTCCCCCTGTACTCAGCTCTGGTGAGGTCGCGCCATGAATACCCTGTTCAGTTTTGGGGCCCTCACTGCAGGAAGGACATGGAGCTCCTGGAGCATGTCCAAGGAAGGGGAAAGGAGCAGCCGAAGGGCCCAGGGAGCAAGTCGTGTGAGGAGTGCTGAGGGAGCTGGGGTTATGTAGCCTAGAAGGAAAGGAGGCTTGGGGGAGACCTTATCACTGTGTACAAGGACCTCAGAGAAGGTTGTAGTGCGGTGGGGGGTCAGTCCCATCTCCCAAGCAACAGGCGGTAGGAGAAGAGGAAAAAGTGGGGCCGCGGGGAGGTTTAGGTGGATTAGGTTTAGGTTTAGGCAAAAAGTCTTCAACAAAAGGGTTGTGAAGCATTGGAACAGGCTGCCCAGGGAAGTAGTTGAGTCACCATCCCTGGAGGCATTCGTAAGCCGTGCAGATCTGGTGCCGAGGGACACGGTTCAGTGGTAGATTCTATGATTCTGTACTTCTGTACTGGGCCCGGGTGCCAGGCTGGCATGGCCTGCACCACTCTTTCCCCTGAGATCAACGGCACAGAGAGGAGCACTGGAGGCAAAAGTCTGCCTGAGTTTTATTCAGAGCAGAAAGCAGCCGCAGCTGAGCTGAGGCTGGGGGCAGGATGTGGTGGGGCATCTGAATTCCTGGGGCGCTGTCCTGTGCCTCGCAGTGATGCTTCCGTGGGCGCTGCAAAGCTTCCTGAGGGCCAGCTGCCAGCTCCGAGCATCCTCCTGGTACTGGCACAGCCGGGCGCTGGCTACTCTCGCTGTCCTGTGATGCAGCTGCAGCGGAAAGCCCTGCGCAGCGCGCGAAGTGCCCTCCTGATGCGGGAGGGCCGTGGCTGGCGTGCCGGGGCTTGTGCGAGGTCATGGATGCCTGTGGGGGACACAGAGGTGTAGGTTAGGGCCTGAGCGGGTGCTGGGCGAGCCTGTCCCCCCCTCCAAGGCCTTTCCCCGGGAAGGGGTGGCCCAGGACCAGCCAGCCCCCGCTGCGCGTGGTGCTGCCAACCTTGTGCTTGCTGCTGCTCGCTGCGCTGAACAGGCCCGGCCAACAGATCCTGGGATGGTGCTTGTGTCTGGGATGTTGCTGGCTCATCTGCTGTCGTATCTTTGGTGCAGGAGGAGGACTGCGCTTGGCCTCCCTGCTCGATGGCCACCTGCATGGGGAGAAGAACAGCATGGGCAGCTGAGGAAAGGGATGTCAGCCCTTGTGCCTGGGCCATGTGGAAATGCAGAGCGGCAGGCAGCTCCCGGCATGCATATCCCACGCACTGCTTCTGCCTGGGGCTGCCCTGGATGCCTGGTGCCCACGGCACGTGCTGTGCTTACCTGGTGCCCAGGAACCAAGGGACTGGCTGCTGCTCCTGCTTTGTCAGCTGCTGCTGGGCGGAAATCTCTGCTGGGCTCCTGGAGAGGCTCTGCAGCCAAAGGAGAAGCCCCTTCTCCACCTTCTTCTTGTGGCGCTGCTGCTGCAGCGAGAGGGGCTTCATTGGCCTCCCCCACAGGGCCTCCGGCCAAGGCAGAGGCCGAGGATGTACATTCTGCAGGCTCTGGTGTGGGAGGAGGCACCCTGGGCACTGTGACCCAGGGAGCACTTGCTGCCTTGCTTGGGGCTCCCTGGATGATGGCTACAGAGTGGAGTAGGACTGCAGCCACGATGGTGTCAACTCTTTCATCCAGCTCTTCATCAGAGACACTGCAGGCATGTCGGGCACGTCCCTGGCTCTCCACCATCACGGCAGCGCTGTGCTCACTGGGGCTTGCACAGGCTGATGGCTTCGACTGTTGAGCCCCACGTGTCAGGGGAGGTGCTCTGTGTCCCTCATCTTCCAGAGCAGGGGCTGCTGGAGGACTTGCTGGCCTGCTCTGTGCCAGTGCTGTTGTGAGAGGCGTACTGTGCCTCTCTTCCCGTGGACCTTCTTCCAGGGGAGCAGCTGATGGGGCAGTGTCCGTGGTTTGCAGCGAGCCAGGAGAGGCGCTTGCTGGTGTTCTGCTTCTTGTGCTGCAGCCTCCCTGTCCACACTGCTGGCTGCGCTGCCCTCTTCCTGGGGAACGTCCTGTGGGTCTGTGAAGATGCTGGCGAACCTGGGGTTGATCCAGGAGTTGAGGATGACGATCCCCTCCTCTTCATCCCATCCCCCAGGACTGCTCTCTTTCCTGCCCCGGCCTTGGCTTGTCCCCTCGTTGCCTGTCCCCTGCCTGGGTTTGACGTGTTTCTCTCTCTGTTGTATTTTCTTCTTACCCTGGCCTGGGCTAGCTGCTGCAAGGTCTCTGCTGGAAGCCCTTGCTCCTGCGCATACCGGGAATCAGGCCCTGGCAGAGCAGTGGTCCGCCTCCTCTCCACGTCTGTCTGGACCCCGGCTGATCTCGTTGCTCTCCCTGTGCTTCCCGTGTGTGCCAGGTCCCCCAGTGCTCCAGCCAAGGCAGATGCTGAGGATGTAGATTCTGCAGGCTCTGCTGTGGGAGGAGGCACGCTGGGTCCTGTGGCCGAGGGAGCACTTGGTGCCTTGCTCACGGCTCCCTGGCTCATGGCTACAGCACAGCGTAGGACTGTGGAAAGGTCGGTCTTGACTCCTTCATCCAGCTCTTCATCACAGGCACTGGAGGCATGTCGGGCACGTCCCTGGCTCTCAACCATCACCTCAGTGCTGTGCTCACTGGGGCTTGGAAAGGCTGATGGTTTTGACTGTGGAGCCCCACGTGTCAGGGGAGGCGTCCTGTGTCCCTCATCTTCCAGAGCAGGGGCTGCTGGAGGACTTGCTGGCCTGCTCTGGGCTGCTGTTGTTGAAGTGAGAGGCGTGCTGTGCCTCTCTTCCCCAGGAATTTCTTCCTGGGGAGCAGCTGATGGTACAGTGTCCGTGGTTTGCAGCGAGCCAGGAGAGGCGCTTGCTGGGTGTTTTGCTTCTTCTGCTGCCTCCCTGTCCACACTGCTGGCTGCGCTGCCCTCTTCCTGGGGAACGTCCTGTGGGTCTGTTAAGAGGCTGGCGAACCTGGGGTTGATCCAGGAGTTGATGATGACGATCTCCTCCTCTTCATCCCATCCCCCAGGACTGCTCTCCTTCCTGCCCTTGCCTTGGCTTGTCCCCTCGTTTCCTGTCCCCTGCCTGGGTTTGACGTGTTTCTCTCTCTGTTGTTTTTGCTTCTTACCCTGGCCTGGGCTAGCTGCTGCAGGGTCTCTGCTGGAAGCCCTTGCTCCTGCGCGTACCCGGGAATCAGGCCCTGGCAGAGAAGTCGTCCACGTCCTCTCCAGGTCGGTCTGGACCCCGGCTGAACTTGTTGCTCTCAATTTGCACCCCGTTTGTGCCAGGTCCCCAAGTGCTGCTGATCGTTGGCCGTGTTCCCAGTTTTTTTGTGTCTTCTCCAGCACTTCAGACACGCGGGAGTGTGCTGTGTCCCGCAGTGCGTGCAAGAGTCTGCAGGGCTGTGTGGGGCATGGTGCCAGCTCTTCTTTAAATTCTGGGGCCCACTTGCGGGCTGAGGTGGTGTTTTGTGTCCTTTGCTCGTGGGAGGTCTGCCCACGGGAGGAAGCCTTGCCTCCCTCATGGCTCCCTGGTTCCAGGCAAGGCCATTTCTTATTGCAGTGGAGACAAAGGCCTTTATTGCGTCTTCCATTTCTTCGGTAGGGGATGCAAGGCTGCTTTTGGATGAGTGCCGACTCCTCCAGTTTTGGTCCGCTGCTGTGGTGAGAGGTGGTGTTCTGGGGCCTTTGGTCCCGGGACCTCTGCCTGAGGGAGAAAGCCTTGCCTTGCTGCTGGCTCCCTCATTGCAGGCTAGAGCTTTTGTTATGACAGTGGACACGAAGGACCGTATTTCATTGCCCACGTCCTCGTCAGGGTCCACAGGGCTGTGTGGGCCACGTTCCCGCCTCTCTGCCCTCACTGCCCTGTCCCTGTTGCCAGAGATGCAGGGAAGAGGTGGCAAAAGCTCTTGCTGGCTGCGGGCCTCTGTTCCCAATGACTTTGCCCTTCCTCCCCCTGAAGAAGCAGAGGCTGCTGCTTGCAGAGGGGGCAGCTTGCAAGTGGCCCTTTCAGGCGATGATGCCTGTGCCGCAGGCACTTGCTTGGGTGCTGCTGCCTGAGTCGCTGCCTGCCTTGGCAAAGGCGGCAGGGCTGGCAGCTGGATTCTCTCGGCCTGCCTCACCCCACGGTGAGGCAGTGTCTTGATGTCTTGCGGCTTCTTCTCCATCTGCAAGAGAAGGCAAGGAGAAAGGCCAAGTTACTTGGGCCATTTCTGCCATTCCGCTCAGTGTACCCCCTAGAAGTGCTGCTGTGAGCTGCCCTGCAGCAGCCCCCGGCACGCCCTGGCAGCTGCCCATGCAGAGCGGGGCTCAGCCTGCCAGGGTAATGCCCTGCCTGTCTCCTCCTGCAAGTGCTGCCTGCTCATCGCAGGCTGCCAGGGCTGCCAACGATGTTCGACCGAACCCTCCTGGGGCTCCCGACTCCGTGTGGCAGTTGCCAGTGTGACGCACGCTCTCTGGGCACGACCGCACTGGCAGCCTGTCCGCATGGAGGGACGGTGGAGGCAGCTCCTGGCTGTGCACAGCCAGGTTGAATTAGGCCACGCTGCTCTTTGTGCCTCTGGGCACAGAACTGCCAGGGCCACGTGGGCTTTGGCTGTCCTTGGGGTGGGCTCTTCATGGAGAAACCCCAGGTTTGGGAACAACTGTGTCCAGGTCCGAGGGGCTCAGGGCCAGCTGGCCGGCTCGCTCCAGCACCGTTCTCCTCATCCTGGTGCTCTCCGTGCCATCCCATCACGCTGCTGTCCCTGTCTCGCTCCCTGAGCCTCACCTGGCGCCGCTCCTGCACGCTCCGCTGCCCTTCAGCGGGCTGGGAGTCATCCTTATTCTGCTGCTCCATGCTATGCTCCAGGTCCTCTGACCAAGAACTCCAACGGGCACCCAGGGGAGCTGCTGCCTCCTGACAGAGCTGCTCTCCTGAGAGTGAGTGGGCAGCCCGGGGCTCGGGCTTTATAAGGGACACCGTTGCCGTGGGTACCCCTCCGTGTCACAATGGCCTTTGGGTACGCATCACAATGCTCCGGTGGTTGCCATGGGGCCCTCAAGCCCATATTCTGGCAGACACCCCAGGGACACCGTCTCACACACCCACAGCAGGGTCTGCATTGGCAGGCACCTCTGTCTCCCTCCAGCCAGTGCCCCCGGCTCAGCCCCAGCTCAGTCTTTCTCAGGGGAGTCAGCTTAGCTCCCTAACTGCTCCCATCAAGTGCTCGTTACCTGCTCTGCCAGGAGATGCTCTGCTCGGTCGTCCGCGTAAGCTTCCTGGCTCTTTTGCCTGACTGCCCACATATCAGCAGAGACTGCACTCGAGCTTGGACGCCCATCAGGCAGCCCTGGCAGTGCAGCTGGAGCAGGAGCAGGAGCAGGAGCAGGGATTCCTCCCGTGTCCGGGCAGCCAGAGGCCTGTGGCTCTAGGCACTGTGAAGTGCTCCCAGAGAAGGCGGGCGCCAGGGAGGCGGTGGAGCTGGCAGAGAGGTGGCTTGAGGCAGGCTCTGGTGGGGCTGTGAGAGGAAAGCCCTGGGCAGCCGCAGGAAGATTCCCTGCTCCTTGCTTTAAGAGCAAGCTGTGGAGAAGCTTTCAGCAGCAGAGCCACAGCTGTGCCATGCTGCTGTTTAGCCCGCAGCTTCTCTGGCTGCTGAAGCAGGTCCTATGCTTTGAAACAGTGTTGGTAACACAAGGGCGTCTTTGCTGGAACAGGTTGCCCAGAGAGGCTGTGGCGTCTCCATCCTTGGAGATCTTCAGAAGCACAATCCTCGGAATTGTGCGTAAAGCTAGTCCTTTGGGGAGAAAGGAAGGGAATTGGAAAAACAACCCCAAAACTAGGGAAAAGGATAAAAAAGCACAGGTTAGATATTGTCCAATTGTCTGGCCTGAAAAGCCATTAAAAGGAACTTTGCTCCTTTGGCCACAACACAGGTCCGATGAAAATTCCCGCTTCAAGTTTACAGGTAAACAATAAGACTCCTTTTCCGCAGGAGGAATCAAGTTATGCTCCCTCTAACCCTAACATTGCAGCCGAGGCAGCAGGAGCTGCACCAGCAAGGAAGTATATGTGTAAGTGTATGTGCTTGAGACAAAGTATTGGATCTGCTTGAGACAAAGTATTGCTGTGAAGGGAGTGACTCCTCACTCTAGAGTAACACTTGTAACAGTAACAGTAGAAGTTGTTGTACAGCAGATACAACATGAGAATCCTGTAAGGGGATGGCCTGTCCCGAATGGCAAGGGGTAGTACTGGCTCTGCGGCAATAAATGCAGGAAGGTGCTGCCCCTTGGCTGGAAGGCA